TCTGTAATGTTTGTACAGATTTTTAAACAGAAACAGGCTGGTGTGCTCGAGAATAGAGAGAACTACAGAAAAGGCCGATCTGAGACAACCTAAATGCAAATGAATAAATAATTGTGGCAAGTCCTCCGAGAATCTTAGAACAACATATCTGCCGAGTCCACTTTAGAGAAAATGGCTGCTTCAAAGGGGAAGTAATATGATTTTTCTTATATTCTGCAATGCTTTTACAAAAGTGTAAAATGGCTGTCATTGATAAGGGCATCACAGGCACACAGCTCCAATCAGGAAAAACAAGTTGGCTTAAAGTGAGAGGAAAAGAAGCTAAAATGTGTTTTTTTTAGACAGAGTATGCACCAAGGAGGGGAGCTGTGCAATTGCCCACTGTAAGATAAATAGGAATTATTTTAAGTTGGGAATTGTGGAGAGCTCATTTAGTAGAGTCATAGAATATCAATATAGAGCAGTAAATGAGCAAAATAGACCCTCTTTAACGGGCATAGTGGTCTCAAGTAGAGACTGACTAACTGGTAGCTTGTACTACCGTTTGACATTGGCTATTTACGAGTCTGTCCATATTATACAAAAAGCAGCAGAATGAAGGAGAGTCAGGTAACACGTGAACAAGTAAACGTAAAACTAAATATATCAAATTATAGAAAAATATCAGCTGATGAATCAGAAGAGCAGAAAGTGTTTTTTTTTAATCATCAAATATTGATAATTGGTAGTGATATTGGTTCCATATTAGTCAGGCTCTGACATGAATCAATATAATTTTTTCTGAGACCTTTTTTTTGGTCTTGTTTTTGTTTGTTTTCTGTTCGTACTCTAATTCCATTGATAATTTTCCAGTTAGCTCCAGATGTATTTTATCTTTCATGTTTTCTCTCTTTCTGCTTCTCTGTGTTTCTTTTTCTCACTTCCTCTCATGCTTCCGTACATTATGTTGAGATACTAAATGCATTTTCTTCCTCTCTCGTGCTACTCTAATTCTGAACTTTTCTTTAACTGAGCTGACAGATAGGGAGGAAGCTAATTGGCCATTATGTCAGAAGTCTTTGTGCATGCTCTAAACACTTACGATAAGTATGGCTAAGTGGTGCTTGTATAAACATGGATGGTTATCTTTCACAGAGAGACTATAGCTCTGTGGGATGTGCCACATTGGATGCAATGGTTTTCTCTTTGAATAAATAGATTTCTGGGACACCAGTTTTTAGTACCCTTGAGGCTAAATGTCTCAATCACTTTGGATTTTACTGATGCACTTTATGGCGAGGTCCTGCCAAGTTTAGAAGATATACTTTATTAGGTATTCTTGTTCTTCTTGTCCTTGTTAATACAAATATAAAATTGGCAAGTCACATGGCAGCAATTCAGTGCATTCAGGTTTGCAAATATGGTCAAAATGACCTGCTGAAGTTCAACCCGAGCTCTGGAATGGGGAACAGAAGTGATTTAAGCGACTTTGAATGTGGCATGGTTGTTGGTGCCAGACAGGCTGGTCTGAGTCTTGTTGATCCGCTTGGATTTTCCCACACAACCCAACCCTCTCAAGGGTTTACAGTGAATGGTCAGAAAAAGAGAAAATATCCAGTGAGCAGCAGCTGTCTGGGGGGGAAATGCTTTATTGATCCCAGAAGAGCGTCTCTGAGGGCACAGCACATCGAAACTTGAAGCAGAGGACTAAAGCAGCAGATGACCACACCAGGTGGGACTCCTGTCAGCTAAGAACAGAAAACTGTAGCTTCATTTCACACAGGATCGCCTTTTTTAATGAGTTTTGATTTGTGCTGTGACATCAAGAATTTGCCATAAACTACATGAAAGCATGGATCCATGGTTCAGGTGCCTGAACCAAAGAAGACTTTCTTGACATAATTTGGGACCCTTAGTGGTGTTGCTGACCTTGTCTATCCCTTTATGACCACAGTGTGCCCAGCTTTTTATAGCCTTCTCCCTCAGGATAGTGCATCATGTCACAAGCTCAAATCATCCCAAACTGGTGTCTTGAACATGCCAAAGAGTTCACTGTACTGTACCAGGCCACCAGATTTCAACCCAATAGAGGACTTTTGGATGTGCAGCTGACAAATCTGTAGCAACTGTGTGATGCTGTCATGTCAATGTGGACCAAAAGTTGTGAGGAATATTTCTAGCAGCTGGTTGAAGCTATGCCGTGGAAAAGTAAAATGGGGATCCAACTTGCTGCTAGCAAGGTGACCGTGTTTAAAAGTGAACATGACTAATCTCAGATAATTCGATTTGTTATTGTGTATGTCCGATTGAACGAGAGCTACAGTGTAATTCAGAGCTCCAGCTCTGTGACAACCAAAAAACCAACTCTATAGTCACCAAAATTACTCTGAATTTCATCTAGTTAAATCACTTTCACTCACTGACTTAACACCTTCCCCTTGTTCTTAACTGTCACAGCTAACTGCCGGAGCCTTACACCAACCGTTATCACAACATAACCTCATTTAACCTCAACCTTAAAGTCAATTATTTACTCTAAAACAGTCGTTTGAAGGCAGAACAGAACATAAAGTCTTCATCCCATATTCCCAAGGTCTACAATTCACACAATACCATACATGTATACACACTCAGTGTTTTTTAGGGTGTGGTGTTAGTCGTGGAGTGGACCACTGTTGTTGGTCTCTTATCCCCATTAGCTTGCTTTGTTTAAATATCCCTTTCTTCCTGCATTTCTTCTCATACTTGCATTATTTTTGTTACACTCTCTTCCTTTGTGGAAGTTGGAACAGAAACCTCGGAAAAAGGAGGGACTTGATGGGTACAGTAACAGAGTGACCAAAAAGGTATAATTAGCTACAAAGGGAGCACGAGTGGTTTGAAAACACTGACGATTTAAATGAAGGGTTCTCTTTTAAGTTGACATCTACTTTGAGGATGGGTTTGCAGGATTGTTTTCTCGGACAGAATTTGATCCCCTGTAGGGATTAATAAAGGTTTAGTTATGCTAAAGTGCTCTTCAGCAATGGTTAAAAAAACATACAAGCAAATAACTCTAGGTGTAATTTATGAATTTCCAGCATGTAATGGAAACATTTTCCTACATGTATGAAATGAGTCTTACAATTTAAAAAAAAAAGAAAAAAAAAAAGAGTTAATTTAACATTTTTGGCTGAGACATTATAGGTTTACACCGATGACTGAAAGTGTTTCCCTCTGTTGTCGCGCCAACGCCCTCATTTTGCTTGAGAGAATGATCCCGGCACCAGATTACAAAGTTCAGTGAACATCACCCAATACATAGTCCCAAATTTATACTTATTTTACCCACAAATGCTACATAAAGCTATGTTTAAAAGTGGGTTTGATTTGTTGTATACAAATGGGGAGTTACAGAGTAAGATTTTTTATTTAGAGGCCGTGTCTCTGAAATTCACTTGTGATGAATAATGAATTAAGTGGTGATTAATCTTTGCAAAGCACGGCTAGTTTAGATTATATTATTCACTGATCTATGTGTGTGTAGTATATCCACTCTGTGGAGTGATATGCCAAAGAAATACGTTTCCCCAGGCTTGTATATGTACTGTGTGTAATCTCCGCACATACAGCCATGCGGTCCTGTGAAAAACGAAGCACATTTAAGGATTTAGTCGCTTGTAGGACCACCTTTAACAGCAATAACTTGAAGTAATAGTTTTCTTTATGACTTTATCAGGCTTTTACATTGTTGTGGAGAAGCTTTGGCCCACTCTTTTTTACAACATTGCTTTACTTCATTGAGGTTTGCGGGCATTTGTTTATGTTGAGCTCTCTAAAGGTCCACAGTATTTCAGTCGGGTTGAGGTCTGCACTTTGAGTCGGCCATGCCATTGCATTGTCCTGCTGCATGGCCCAAGTCAGTTAGTTGGTCTACACTGAAATATACCAGGGCTGCTAGATGGATTTGGAACATTTGTGTACTCCCAAGAAGATGATTTTTTGAATCTTCTTGTTCTCCCTTGCATTTTCATCTAGTGAAATATCTTACCGGTTATATAAACTTGCTATGAAAGTTATTACTACTATTATAATAATAATAATAATAATAAAGTGCAAGTAGCAAAATTGGGTCATTAGTTTAAAAAAAAAGTGAATTTGTCTAAAATATTGATGTTGGGACCAAATAGAACTGTATTGTGTTACAGTAGCGTGATAGTACATTTCACTAACTGCTTTTTTCCTTACAGTCAAATAATTAACCTTGATGGCATGTACTTTCAATTTTACAGAAAAAAAGCGTGCAATAGCAAAACCTTAAGAGCACACAGCAGTCTGGATAATAACTGCTTAAGCCATCCATCTATCCCTCTCTAAAGACAATATGTCTTAAACCCGATGCAGTTGTTAAATTAAGTTTATAGTTGCTGTAAAGTATTTCAGTCTCAGTTTATTTTCTTCCCAAATGACCATCTAGTTGACATCAAGTAGGTCACCAAACCAAGAATTGAATCTTACATACAACATTACACAAATTAAATTACCATTTAGTTTCCACTTTTGGTAAAAGCAAAGCTGTTAGTATATAATTTGTTTCACTGAACATGTTTTACCAAGTAAATAACAATATCTGTTTTGTGTTATGTGCCTGTTGTTTGCATACGTACTATACCATCAGAAACTAATGCTTATATTACGTATAAGAAGAAGTGGTCATTATTAGATTCAAAGTGGGGTGGGCAGATACAGACAAATAAAAAGGCACTGAGCTGTGGACAATCTGTACGGTGGAAGGGAACACTCTGTCCTACCACTTTTTATTCCCGCCCCATACTGTAAATCTCAGCAATGTGTGAGGCCAGCAAATACTCTACAGCACTGACCACTGCTGGGTCTCTGCGGATTTATTTTTCTCTTTTTGCAGAGACCGAATAATAAAAATGGCTTTGAATGTTTTAGTTACTGAATTTCACCCTGCCTCTGCCTCTTCACCTCCTTTCAGTCCACTTTAACCTCTCTCTCTCTTCTCTTTTCACTTTTAGGAGTCCCCTCAGGACAGCGCCATCACCAGGGACATTAACCGGACATTTCCAGCTCACGACTACTTCAAAGACACTGGAGGAGATGGACAAGACTCCCTCTATAAGATCTGCAAGGTGAGACACTTAACACACAAGGAGGAGGTTAATTTTTCCTCTGAAGTCAGCAGAGGGCATTATCCAGGCAGTCATTAAAATGGATTCACACAGTGCACAAAGCTACTGCAACAGCTGTATGCCAAATGAGGTGTAAACCATTTGGTAGCAGAACTGCAGATACAAGTCAGCAGCACTCTTTTCCCCACTCTCCCCCACATTAACTTCTGCTGCGTGTAAATTTACAGCTTAAAATACACATAATGAAGAAATAATAGGGAGTGATAAACTGGGTCAAGAACAATAGTAGTAATACTTTGCAGTGCTCTTCAAGGATATTGGGCCAGTGGCTTAAGCAGAGATGATTAAAATGACGCTCCCACTTATTATAAATGTTAAGCTTTACTATTAGTGAGCAGTTTAAAGGCTTTCAAGAGGCACTCCAGGATAATCTGATATGTTTGCATTTAAAGATTACAATGAGTCATTTTTTTTAGTTTATTCAATAGAAAAAAGAACATCGTACTCATAAATAGACATTGATTAGTGTATAATTATATCTTCCAATAATCAGTGCATTGTCATAAATTGGGAATTAATCCATTTAAACTACATAGGAGCAGGGGCTGCCATGTTTGCCATGTTGCGATGGGCGTCGCTGTTCCGCCTAATTATGTTTTATGTTCCAAGGTAGAGGCCGGCGGCATATGTAGTACGCCTCATAAATTACTTTTAATTTAAAGATCACAAATAGGTATTTTAAACTTTATTTATACATGGATATTTTAATTATCCCATTCTTATTATGTCTGCCTCATCCATTTCTTCTCTCTCTGCTCCCTCATTTCCACCTCATCCTCTTCCTCCTCACCTCAAGCCTCATGCTCTGAACACATGAAAATGTGCATAAACATGCTTGTTTTTTTCCTGATATTGCCAGCAGATTAGACATGCGACCGTCCCTGTTTATTACAGTCACACATCGTGAGTGTCAGAATGTCAGATCCGCTTCAAAGACAGTTTCAATAACGCCGGCTAACAGTGACCAATACAGCAACACTTACCGACAACTCACCTCAGTATGAGACATGAGTGAGTTTCACTGACTCGTCGACTCGTATCAGACTCCTTTCACAAAGTTTTACAGCCTCCTACAGTGTGAATAGACGTGGACTCCAGCTGAGATAAATGGAGGACTGACATTCTGTACTTACTTCAGATGAATGGCGGCCAATCTGCAATCTACTGATGTCTAGCAGTGATATTTTTCACAGTGTACCTTTAATGTGCACTGCTAGTTTACTTCTCTGCTTATAAAAGGCAGCATTTTGTGGTCTTTGCATGCATGAAGTTTTTCCCTTTCCCACTCAACTCACTTCACTGCCAGATGTTTATGCACCACTACTGCAGGTCATTAAATTTTGTTTTCACCCTCCCATAGATTGTTTTGTCCCGTCTCCCTATCCTCTCTTCCTTCTTTCCTCTTTCCCCTCACCTGCAACCACTCGAAGCAGATAGCTGACCCTCCATGCTCGTCTGGAGGTTTCTTCCTGTTAAAATGGATTTTTTCTAGTCCTAGTGCTGCTCTTTGTGGATCGTCTGATTTTTGGGGTAGTCTTTCTAACACTGTAGGTTCTTTACCTAAGGTATAAATCACCTTGACACACCTGTTGTTGTGATTTGGCTCACTATTTCAATTTCATACTAAATGAAATTGAATCAAAGCTGAAATTCACATAATATTTAATCAATCTTTTAAATATTAAGAAGTATAAATAGCTGTAATAGACAGCTTGTGTCCTGACATAGATTTGTAAACTCACACCCACTCATGAAGTTGTTTTTTTTATAAAACTGCATGTAATTACAGGTGAGAAACAAGCAGTTGGTTAGCTTGCAGCCGTCGTTCTTGATGAAACCTGTCAGAAATAAAAATAATCTCCATGTGAAATTGAATCACGTTTCTCTGGAATACGATATAATTACTATGTAAATGACTGGCTCCACAGTAGGTCTGTAGAGCAGTAGTTGAAGGTGCCAACGCTAAAATCAACCGCTCATTAATTTACTTTCTCACCGGGTTACTGGGTGGTTCAGTGAGTTCACAAGAGTGAAAAGCAAAACAAGTTTTTAAATCGAACGCGTAGTTTGGTGTGCGCGTTTGATTCAAAACGTTGGCGTTTTGATCATCGAGCATCTGTGCTCTCTTTCTCATGAAAACAAACACATGCGTCAATAATATGCATACATACATCTGAAGCTATACCTCCATAATTCGTCACGAATGTCCCGACTGCGGTGCGTTCAGTTTTTAGTTTCATGTCATTTATTATGTATAACTCAGGTGAGGACATCCATCTCTTCCCAGACAACCACCTCCTCAGGTGTGTTTAAATAATTCAGCGGGCCCTCCCTCTCCTGCATGTATGGATTGATCCACACTTTGTCCGTTTGATTCATGCTCATAATTTGTGTTTGTAGCTCAGTAGGCCACTACAGCCCTTTCGCCTGATTCTCTCCCTAGCTCCCAAAGCAATTTAATACATAACATTTGTACCAACATTTCCTTCAGACCCCTTTTTTCTTGCTTTTCTGTTTGTTTCTGAATCTATCCAGTTAGACTTGATTTCTTTAGGTCCTATTCAGTCTTTCTTCATTATTATACTGCCACACAGCTCATACACATTATAATTTAAGTTCTCTGTAGCCAAACCAGCGTGCTGAGGGTGAAAAAATAAGATATTTGTTTCATTTTGTTTGGCTTACTGTAATTGTGGGCGGTCACTGCCTGTTCTGTTGATGTGTTTTGTTTAATGTTTCTTGTAAATATAGATATATGGTATACTAATTACGTTCTCACCATCAATTAAATGCAGCACAAGATCAGTATTTACACATTGCTTTGCAGCCTTGGTGTAACTTCCCAAATCTTTAGAAAAAAATGTATGCTATACTATACAAATACATTAATTTCTTTATTTCTTTTTTTTTATTATCATTATTTATCGTGACACTAGTTTGTTACCTTTCTTTCTGTCTGCATTCTTTTTTTTAGGCTTATTCTGTTTACGATGAGGAGATCGGGTACTGCCAGGGACAGTCCTTCTTGGCTGCAGTGCTGCTGTTGCACGTGAGTTTACATACCAGCATGTCCAGGGAAAAAAAAAAAGTATTTCAAATATAGTGTCATAGCTGAGCGGGGCTGTTTTATTTCCTTTGACATCGATACCCTTCCAGCTTTCAGAAACACTGGAGGATTGGCTTAATTTATTACATCCTCCATCCTATGTTTAATGTCTCTCAGAACTTGGTCAATAAGTACCTATAAAAGGAAATTTTAGAGGTTTTATTTGTTTATGTAATGTAGACGGCAACATTAAACCACCTGCCTAATATTGAGTAGTTCTCCCTTTGCACTGCCAAAACAGCTCAGACTCTCTGGGGAATAAACAGGTCCCCTCTTGGGATGGGCTGTGTTGACTGGGACCAAGCATATCCTACAATTGCTCATTGGGATCTAAGGTGTTTGGAGTCCAGACCAACTTCCTAATCTTGTTGTTGTGTTCAGGAGTATATGTTGCAGTAACCCCCACGCATGTGTCTCTAGCAAAGGTTTTAACCGCAGAACTCTGCATAGTCATAAGGCTTTAATGTTGGGGTTGATTCTTTTTTGTGTGTGTACAATATGGTCACAGTGATCATCTGAAACCTGTAGCTTGTTTTAAAATTCCTCTGTGGTCCGGAGAAATGCCAACAGTGCCACCTAGTGTAGAAACAATGGCCATTTTTATAAAGCATCCGACCAGAGGATTTTTTAAAGTGACATTTTAGAATTACTTTGCAGTTAACTTCATGTGAAACCCTTGTTTTCAGCATGACTGAACTGACTTAAGGCACTAATAAGTAAATCTCTTGGTTTTCTTTAGATGCCAGAGGAGCAAGCATTCAGTGTCCTGGTGAAGATCATGTTTGATTATGGGCTCAGGGATCTTTTCAAGCAAAACTTTGAAGATCTTCATTGCAAGTTCTTTCAACTTGAGAGACTTATGCAGGTTTGTATGATATAAACTTGTATAACTGAATGCTCTGCGCACCTGTACACTGATATATACTATTATATTATATAATGTAATACATAAGACCAGCAAGGTGTATTACTTAGTATTTAAGTAGAATTGAAGTGACCTCTTGCTGCTCTCCTTCCTTTCCCCCCCATATGCTATCTTTTTTTTTTTATTACATCTTCCTTTTCTCCTCCTCCACATTCTTCAATCTGCTTCTCTAACCCCATGTCCTTTTGTGTCTTTATTGCTTTTCTTGCTTTCAACGTGTCTGTTCCAGGAATATATACCAGACCTGTACAACCATTTCCTGAATGTGGGCCTGGAGGCTCACATGTACGCCTCACAGTGGTTCCTCACTCTCTTCACAGCCAAGTTCCCCCTCTACATGGTCTTCCATATAATCGACCTGCTGCTGTGCGAGGTTCGTAATCTAAACACAAACCTCAGTGACTTCAATCGACAGAGGTAATGACTTATTAACTCATGGCATAGAAATGCCCTCAGCTGTTAAAGGCTGATGGGGTGTTGTGGTTACCCTGCCAATTCGGCAGGTGACATGATGTGACATGGACACCCGAGTTTGTGAGTGGGGTAACTCGAGAATGAAGCGACGTAGGAGTTTTAAATTCATACCATAGGTGTGTCTACAAGAAATATTGAAGGAGTTTGAATCTCTGTGACCTAAACCTTCAGTCTTCTGAAAATTGTTTGAATTGATAACTCAAGAAGGAAATCGCCTCGGATTCTGAAATAAATTTTATACAGTGGTGTGAAAAAGGGTTTTCCCCTTCCCGATTTCCTTATTTTTCTTTTCTTGTCACACTAAAATGTTTCAGATCATCAAATTCAGATATTAGACAAAGATGTCTTGATGGATGCTCAATCATCCAGGTAAGGAAATCCCAAAAAGTTGATTCGATTCATCTGGATGTAGCGTTTTTAGTGGAAGAAATGTTTCGTCAGTCATCCAAGTGACTTCTTCACTTTCAGCTGAGGTCAGCTTCTTGATCATTCATGTGAAGAATGATCTGCTAGTTTCAGTCATTATGCAAATATATTGTTTACTTAAACTGAACTCAGCTTTCCAAAAATTAGGTCAATCACAGTTAAGTCATGATTTAACAAGATGGGCAATTGCTTTTCACACAGAACCAGGTAAGTTTGGATAAGTTTGGATAAGTTTTCTTCCTTAATCAGTGAAATCATTGTTTAAAAACACAATTTATTTGGGTTATCTTTGTGTGATATTAAACTTTGTTTAATGATCTGAAACATGTAAGTGTGACAAATATAAAAAACTGTAGTAAATCAGGAAGGGCGCAACAACTTTTTCACAGCATCGTAGGTACCATAGATATCTTTTTTTTTTACCCTGGGAATTGAAACTCTGAATATAGGAAAACCCTCGTCTCATTAATCTGCTGAATGATGTCAGTCCAGTGATGGTGGAAGAAAGCAGCAGGACTTGGGATGTGGTTCAAGATTTAGGAATTTATGACCAGACCCAGGGAGACTTGTTTCAGATCACACAATAACTCAGACCAGGGTAAAGTCTGACCTTCCGGTGTAGCGGTCCAAGCTGAGCAGCTGTCTTCAGATCCTGTGGAGAGATATGAAGTTACCCCATTAAGTCAGACCGCTTTAACAAATCATCTGGGAAGAAAAGGAGCAGCCGCTGTGCTTATCCACATACTTAGTAAAAGTATATCCCTAGAAACAAGCACACCACTTAAATATGGGGTTTTATTATGTATGGAAGCCCGTTTCCGCCACTAAAAAAAAAAAGAAAAAAAGCTAGTATCCATAACTCGAAATTTCGAGTTATTTTCTCGAAATTTCGAGTTACATTTCTCAATTAATTTAATTTCTCAGTTAGCTCTGCCAATCAAAAATATACGTGAATGAGGTCGCTTTCTTGTTACCCGGAAGCATATGGCGCAGGACCGCGCACTCAAAAACGGATCCCAACAAATTAAAGTATGTTTGCTGATCACACCATGTGATTCAGCTAATAACACAGGGATTTCATCATTTGTGAAGCCAGGCTGAAAACACTCAGCAATCTGTGCATTCACGACTGGATGTAATACCGGTAGCTTAGCTGTAGCATTTGTAGCTGAGGGCTTCAGCTTCCGGGTAACATGGAAATGACGTCATTCACGTAGATTACTGATTGGCAGCGCTAACTCGAAATTTCGAGAAAATAACTCGAAATTTTGAGAAGCTTTTCTCAAAATTTTGAGTTAATATGTCGAAATTTCGAGATAATAACTCGAAATTTCGAGAAAATAACTCGAAAGTTTGAGTTATGGATCCTTTTTTTTTTTTTTTAGTGGCGGAAACGGGCTTCCATAATTATGAAAGCACTTTAGGTGTTTTCTTTTTTCAAGAATAAGCATATGACAACGTTTATGTGTGATTTTTGTCAGTTGCTTTTTTCATTAAAACATCAAGCAACAGTAATTAATCAATTCATTTTGTTTTTTTCTCCCCTCAGGGCATTAGTGTAATCTTCAATGTGGCCTTGGCACTTTTAAAGGTAAGAAAGCCCAGACAAAAAACGAATTATTTTATTGTTCAGCCACACCAAAGTGAAAATGGGACAGCAACCTCCTTGTGATGAGGGGAAATTGGTTGATGATTGTGTGTAGATTGCAATTGTGTTGTTGGCAACACCCTTAACATCTGGGAAAGGTATTTATGCAGGTCGCCTGGCAGGAGGCAGCCTGAGACTGCAGTCACTCAAGCAGATTGGTGAAGGTTGGCAAATAAGTTCAGTCTAACTTTTAAAACACAAAAGTTGCTTTCAGCATAGCAGCTGACTGCAAGTGGTTTACTGACCTGGTCCCTGTCTTTGACGTGACCATTGAAAAGTCAACGAGATCACAAGTTTATTGCAATAAATTTGGTCGTGCTGCTCCAACCGCCGTCTTCTTTAGTGTGACTGTAGCATCAAACCAATGAGCATTCAAAGATGGCCAGAAGCTTTGAGTGGAAACAGAAATGGAGAGGTTGTGCCAACAGAACCTCAAATTCTAAAAGGTTTATGCATGTGAGACATGTGCAGCCTCACCCCTCTGTTCTGTGCTAAAAGCAGTGCACGTGCTTTTTTTTAAGGGGACGTTGTGCTTGAAGAACACCGTTCCATCCATAAAATAAACAGGCAAAATAAAATAAATCTGTGGAACAACTTTTATTTTACAATAGATTTATAGACTTGGCCACAAACACAGTCTTTATCTTAGTGCTCACGTGTTCCTAACCAAACCCAGGATGTTGTCTTAAGAATTGTTTCTTCATTTAACAAAAAAAGGAAATGAGTCTTTCCTTGACAGGCTGTTTAGGCTTGAGTAATGTAAATTTATGTCTAATTTACCTTTTATCTGCTTTTCCCCAGACATCGAAAGATGATCTAATCCAAACAGACTTCGAGGGTGCTCTCAAATTCTTTCGCGTCCCTGTTCCGAAGAGGTACCGCTCCGAGGAAAACGCAAAGAAACTGATGGAGCTGGCCTGTAGCATGAAGGTTAGTTTAAAACAGAGCATGTAGTACTTATACCTGCTCAACCTGGCTTTTTCTTAAAGATAGTAGACTTGTGTCTTATTGTCATATTTTGTATAAATAAGAATAAACAGATGATTTTCTTAAAATATTAAGAAAACCTCAAACCCAACTGAACAGTAAATTATTAAACAAAATATATGTGATATATGATCATTAGTTGATCATTCGCAGATCATTATGCACAAAAGTAAAAGATTTTTTCAAGCAGTATTTCTCAAATACCACTAGGGGTCACTGCCGTGCTTTACACCAACCTTAACAGATAAATCAAACACACGTGTCTTTTTCAGTATCTCAAACAGGCGCACTCGCACCTGTGTCCTGACCCGTTTTGAACTGTCTGGCCTAATTTAAGGGACTTGACTTTGAAGGTAACTTTGGGCAGAGATATTTATTTGCACAGACTCTGTAGGAGCCAGCAGGCCGAGAGATTTGAAGTTTTTGCTTCTCAGTTAGACAGCTGGGCAGCAGGCAGATCATGTAATGATCTTCAGCAAAGAAATATCCGCTGGAAATAAATCGGAGGTATCGCTTTTGAATTTAAATCATAACCACCAGAAAAACACAGATTTTCTAGCTTATACTCCTTTTGGCTTATTTGACTTCTTCTATATGCTGTCTTTGAGTATTACACTTATCTGTGCTGCTTTTTTTCTTTAGGGATTCCCCGTAGCAAGTATGTTATCTGCCAAGAGAAAATAATTCCAAGAATTCATTTGAGGTCACTGACTACTGTAATGACTTCACTGGGAATTAAATCTCAGTCAAGGCAGAGTAATTTGAAGCTTGGATAGCAATGTGAGGTGATGACTGGCTGTATCAGTAACTAACCTGAAACGACTGAAGATACTGGCTGACTGGACTACAAATTGTTCTGGGTTGCAGCTGTGTTGGAAGCTTTATCTCAGATTTGACTTTATGTGATCTTTTTCCAGGTACACCCCTTTTTTTAAATGTATTTATTTCATTTCGGGAAGTCAAAGTAGCAACAATTAGGTCGCTTCCTTCAAGGTGACCGGAATCTTGAAAGTTTTTATTAATTTATTAATTTTTTACAGCAGGCTTTTATTCTGAGGTGTTTCTCATAAACTCAGAGTTATTCTTTTAATGTATGACTTTAACCTTGGAAGTCCAAAGTTTTCCCAGCTTTGTTTCTTCCTTTAAATCTGAGCCCGGGCTGAGGTCATCTGTGACTTTGGTATTTCTTTTTCTTTTTTTTAAACGGAATCTTGAAATTAATTATAAAAAATGTCTCCAAATTTATTCTCATAGTTCAACTTTCATAACTTTCTTCGTTGAATGTCAAATTTATTCCCTTCCCCTTTTTTAGTTTCTTAATGTACCCTAATTCATATTTTTAAAATAACCAACATTATTGGAAAATGAACATATATATAAAAATTCAACATCCTGCTTCCTAAGTCATTGAACTATAAGAGATACAAAACCTAAACAAGGCCATTTGTATCATCTAAATTATATTATCTGATATATATCTTATCAACTTTACATTATATTCACAGCAGTGTTAAAGCAGTGCTGAGTATCTTTCCAGGTTGGGAGTCTGCAAACTATTTACTTAACTGCAGTCAGAGGTCATTATCATTATTAGATTTTTAAAGTCAGTATAAGAGAAGTACTTGTGTTGTGCATTCAGCTCACAAACTGTGTTCAAGACATAATCTCAGGGTCAAACCAGGTCATTTATGTTGTCTCAGTGTGCTTTTGTTGCACCAACCTCCTCTTCTCATCTGCCAGCCTTATGACTTCTAATGCTAATATATGCAAATTACCCCAGAAATTAAAATAAAACCATAAAAGTTTGAATTTTCTTTCTTGGACACTTTTAAAAAAAAGTTTGGTGCGTCAAAGTTTTAGCTTGTGTTCATACCTTTTAGTTCTGTTTTTGAGCTACTACACATGAGCATGCGTGTGCAGATATGTTTGTGCACCTACATACAGTATTAGTAGTTGCAGTTGATTGAAACCTTTCAAAGTGGAAAAATATTTTCTGTTTATAAAAAACTTTGGACTCGGGAGGTTTGTGGATACTCTCTGTACTTCATTGGCAATTTAATTATGAGCTGTTGGAGAACCAAAGTTTTGCCGTAGATGTGAGAAAAAAGACAATAAAAGGATAGATGCATTAGAGACCTGCTGCCCTGAATAACCTTCTGTACTTTGTGGAGGAGAACGTGCAACCAAACACACTGAGAGAATGCATAAAGACACATAAATCGGAACAGCATGAAGGTCACGCTACATCATTAGGTAATGAATGTTGAGATTTCAACATGGGGAAAAGTATATAGTCAAAGTATGCAAACACTGTAGTGCATTGATTGTGAACCCTTAACTAAGGGCATTGAAAATCCACACATCTCACACATGTCTGCATCAGGAGTGGGCGATTACTTTTCCCAAGGAGCCACATGATAAGCTGGGTCTATCGTGGAGGGTCGCACCAATGAGATGACTTCAGTTCTCCTTAATATTAATTTAATCTCTTTATAAATTGGTAAGATTAGATGTTACAAACAGTAGCAAATTGGCCAATAATACCACCCCGTGTGTTGTTACATGTTATTCAAATGCATGAATAAATAAAGCTGCAGTCGAGCAAAGATTAAAAGTCTTCTGTCTTTGTTTGCAAAAGACTTGAAAACCTCTCCACTGGCCGTCACATTAAACCAAACTTAGTAAGCTAGTTGTATTTCCTTTCTTCATCATTTGTTGTTTTACTCTTTCTGCTCAACAGATCAGCCAGAAGAAACTGAAGAAATATGAAAAGGAGTACCACACCATACGGGAGCAGCAAGAGCAACAGGAGGCCCCCATCGAGAGATATGAGGTACGTGGTTTTTCTAACAAAATATTTCAGTCCCCTTTCTTGTCTCGATATGTTCAATACAGGAAGGTTAAATGATGAGTATATTTTTCTTTAAAAAAACAATGGCAAAAGGAAAAAGAAACCAGCCAAAACAAGAATGATATGCTCCTCCTATTTAGCATAAAGCAGTCTCATCCTTCCTTTTCCAGGAACAAAATGTCTGGCACAGTGCATCACTTAAAATAACAATAAAAATACGGCAGAACAAAAACTGCATGGTTCATAACAAACCGTTATTCTGTTGGACTTCCTCTTCCTCCTCCTCTTATGTCTGTTGTTTATCTGCTGGGCAGGGCATTTAAAAAAACAAAACAAAAAATGTTGTATCATTTTTGTTAATGTTGGTTCTTCTCACGTGTCACTCTAATCTTCCCCCAGAATGTTTTGATCTTTCTCCACTACCAAATACACAGAACCGTTATTTCTTTTGGCTCTGTGCATTCATTGCATTGCTCTGTGGTGTAGTGTTTAATAGACTGGCCTGGACAAATCTGCCATGGCGACCCCCTGGGGAAAAGGGGTGTGGCATAAAGTTGTTTGGCTTGTTTGTTCTGTTGGCAAAATGATATGCTTAACACTGAGAAAAGTTTTAAAAGTGTAGGGGTGTTAGATGTTGCTTATATGGCAGTCTCAGCTCATTGCTGGCTAGTTACTAGGTCTATATAATTCAACTTTTATAGATATAAATTAGATGTTATTGCTGTGAAATAAAAAAGATGGCATGCTCTCATATAGTGCTGTAGGTGCATATTATTTAAAAATACATTATGAAATATTGTTCCATGCTTTTATAGCTCATAATGTCATGTTTTTGTTGATATTTAAACATGCCTTTGTGGTGGGTTACTAAATGACTTACAATTTACAAAACTTTTCAGCAGTAAAAATATTTTTTAAAAATTATATCTGTTCAGATTAGAGTTCTTCAGAAAACGTATATTATTAGAATTAGGATGATACAGATCTCGCTTAACTTTTCTTTATATTGTTTTCTGTCTTTTTACATAGTAACATTATTATTTTAGTGGTTGGTTGGTTTAACCATTTCAGTATTCATGAATTACGTGTCATCCCCACGATTACCACATAGTGGTAAAGCAGCGACTATATTCTGACATTCATAGCTGAACAAAGTAAATCTATATTTCTTGTGGACCTTGACAGTCCTTGTTCAGCAAATAAAAACTACAAGGCCATAGAAAAGCCTTTAACTATACATTATGTCATTTCAAGGGTAACAAGATGGTTTTGTGCACTACAAGATCATCCATCACTTCTTTTTTTTTTTTGTGCGTGTCCAAAGAAGTGTTTTGATCTTGGGGTGTTTCTATTTTTGCCATGTAAGAGGGATTCATCCGCTCTACGCTAAAGTCAAATGTTCACGCCAGTTTGAGTCATAGTAGTGATAATAAAAGCTGGAGTTGTGTAGTCCACACTTTAATACAAGGATATGTAAATCCATGTACAAATGGATCAGGATCAGACGGCTTAAAAAGAAGAAAAGTGACACAGACATGAAATGTTTTAACAAAGATGGAAACGTTGACCTAGAAATAGAAGGAGAGGTGTTAGAAATTGTGCTAAGTGCTCCGACTTTATTCCCACTACAGCTGTAGATTGCTGTTAATGATGTACAAACCGGTTATGTCTCGTTAAACATTACAGACATCTCTTACTTTGCGGCTACGTTTTCAGCTGATCAGAGTGAACTTTTATACTCTCGGTTTCATATGTGTGTTGTCGCATCGCTCTGGAAACTGCTGAACCAGTAAGACATGTTTGCACAATCAAACTTAACTCCATTTCCTTGCTCAGCTATCTCAGCGCTTTCCTTCCTCTTTGGTGGATCGGCACTTCTCCGTGTTCAGTGTCGTCTGTCTTAAACGTTTTGATTATTTCATTCTTAACATTTTTGTGTTGATTTGTGGTTGTTTTTCTCTTTTCTTCTTTCTAAACACTGCTTTTTTTTCTCTTACATTCACCATCTAGCGGGAGAATCGGCGTTTGCAAGAGGCCAACATGCGTCTGGAGCAAGAAAATGATGACTTGGCACATGAACTAGTTAGCAGCAAGATAGCCCTGCGCAAAGACCTTGACAATGTAAGCCAAAGAAGAATATTTGTGTATGATTGGGTGGGGTTGTTAAACTGTCATTTGTCACTTCTGGTAGAACATCTAAAAAAGGTTATAGCAAAGATGAAAGCGCAAGTGTTTTTGAACAGAAACTTTTTTTCCCAATTCCTTGAAAAGAGAGAGAAAACTAGGAAGAAAGTAGGGCGACTCTGACTTTCATTGACCTACTGAGCACTGGGTTATGGTGTCTTTTGTGTGTCTGTGCATGTGTGTGTCAGGCCGAGGAGAAAGCGGACGCCCTAAATAAAGAGTTGCTGCTGACCAAACAGAAGCTGATTGAGTCGGAGGATGAGAAGAGGCGGCTGGAGGAAGAGTCTGCACAGGTTAGAGCATGTAACGCGCTCTCATCTAGAGTGAAACGGAGCCAGGGGGAAAAAAGTTTCCTGCTGATGCCTACTGTGTTTGTTTTTCCTCAAAATGTCATAAGAAGCGCAGGGTTACAGGAAGCAACTGCTGAAACAGAAGTCGAAATATTAAGGTGACCTGCTATGACTGAGCAGTTTTTATTGTGGACAGGTCCAGGATTCACAAGAAATATTGCATCGGCTGATTTACTCTCAATCAGTGAAGTTCTGTTTGTCTCTGTCGTTTGCAGGGTATGACAGCCTGTGTGGAACTGCTTGTCTTTGAAACAAGACCGCATTTTATACTTTCCTGAGCTAGAAGCACAGCTCATAGTGAGCATGAGACCAGATTTTTTTCTGACCTTCAAGTCTTTACAAAACAGCCGTTATGTGATGAATATACCCCTGTCATACCCGAAGCCTTACATCAGACTTGGGAAATGTTAAGCACAGCCATCTTTTTGTACATGTTCTTCTGGCTGTATATTTGCTTCTCAGCCAGTTTCTCTGCATGAGACACATTTCCACATATTTTCAATTACAGAAATATTTTAAGAAAAATAAAACCACTGGCTCGCTTGAGACTTCATGTGTGGAGTTTAATGTTCTCCCTGTGTTTGTGTGGGTTCTCTCCGGATATGCTGACTTCCTCCTACATTCCAAAAACATGAACAGGGTTACGTTAATTGGTGATTCTAAATTGGCCAGAGGTGTGGATGTGAATTTGTATGGTTGTCTGTCTCTCTGTTAGTCCTGTCAGAGACAGGCGACCTGTTCAGGGTGTACCTTGCCTTTCGGTGTATGGCAGCTGGGATAGGCTCCAGCCCAGTCACAACCCAAAGTTAGATACAGTAGGTGGAAGAAAGAAAACGGATGGGTGCTTGCTATTGCTACATTCTGAAGGTGTTACAAGCAATTCAATTATTAATGATACCTACATTAATATGTTGATGACCTACATACAGTAAAAAACAAAATATACTATTCCATAGGAATTAAGAGAGTAATTAGCAACCAGGTGTTGCTAATCAAATGCACTTGATTAACTGATGATCTACAAATTTAGCCATCTCTGTCAAAAAAGCTGAGGTTTTGACAATTTCCCATTAGTGGAAGTCCCAGCAAGGTTAGACTGTTTAATGATCCAATACACTACAGAAACCCAAGAAGTACATCTTAGACTTTAGGTTCGATTAGATTTACAAAGTTGCCTCTGAACAAACCGCAAGATTTCTAGACCAGTACCCTTTGGACAGATGAGAGCACAGTGGAGCTAGTTGGCTATAATGCACAGTGGCACTTTGGCAAAAACCAAACGCTGTATACAAACATATCTGCACAAGCACCTCATACCAGCTGTCAAGCACAGTGGCAGAGGCGTGATGATTTGGGTTTGTTTTGACATTTACAGGACCTGCGTACCTTGCACTCGTTAAGTCGACTATGAAGTCGTCTGTATACCAAAGTATTTTAGAGTCAAATGTGAGACTACAGTTTGGCTGGATTGGATCATACAACAGGATAATGATCCCAAGCACAACAGCAAATCTGCATCAGAATGGAAAAGAAAATAGTCAAGTTTGTTGCAATGGCCCAGTCAAAGTCTATTTTAACATTTTAAAGGGAGCCGAATGAATGCCCACAAACCTCAATGAACTAAAGGACCATTATAAAGAAGAGTGTATTTCTCCACAACAGTATGAAAGACTGATAAAGTCATATAGAAAATTATTACTTCAAGTTATTATTGCTCCTCAGTGTTGCTCTACAAACTCCTGAATCATGTTGTGTACTTAATTTGTCATGGCTGCACAGAACCCTATGGAAATTTAAGTTTCACATGATACTATAATGTCCAAAGGTAATCCATTATCTTACTTTATTCCAGAGAGAATCCTGTAACTCATCTAACTACTTTCACTGGCCATACATACCCACCTGATAATGTAGTGACAACATGAGCCAAACAAAAAAGCTAGCTGTTGCTGTTTTAATGCTGCAGCGCTGGCATCTCTTCCTCCTTAATAGGCCACCAGTGGTTGTGCTAAGCTTGCAGTTGCCCTTAATCAAATTTGAAGTAGAGCTATTTGCAGCAGACAGACCCTTATTGTAACTTGGCCAATATTTGCATTTCACTGTGGTTCTTTTTTCTTTTTCACACAGAAATTCAAAATGAGTTGATATGTCAAACACCTTACTAGCTGAATTACATGTGCAGGCTGATAGTAGTATGCACCTATCGGGAGTTGGATAGAAGTAGAAATGATTTAGGATTTTGTAACGTTTTGAGCTGTAAATTCTTATTTCAGTACTGCTCATGTTTAGTAATGGTTAGAAGAAAACTATGGTTTCTCTGTCCAGATCATGTATCTGTTGCTACAGAAATGCAATAACTGTTCCAGTGAGAGAGAAAAAGATACAGAATCTCATTTACTTTAAAACCGCATTCCTGTATAGTCAAACCTCAGATATCAAAGGTTGTCAGTCTTTGATGGTTATTTTCTCAAGTTCAAGTAAAGATTCTCTTTGATGGAGAGCACAGACCCTGCTGCCCTCTGATCCTGTGCATGTTTCACGTGGTCCTCCAAGTGTCTGTGGTGTTGTTGAGTTTGTGTAACTGTGACTGATTCATGTGCTCGAGCAGAGGTTGCATGGAGGCCATGACATTGCCCTGAACTTAGTGTCTGCCAATACCTTTCCATGTCTCCTTTACATTTCATGGCAGTCACACAGTCTCTGGGGCACCACTTCTGTCCTTGGCCTCTGCCGTGTAACAGCCTAACTGTATCTCTGTGTTTTATCTACAGCTGAAGGAGATGTGCAGACGAGAGCTCGATAAGTCTGAATCAGAAATTAAGAAGAACGGGTCCATTATTGGAGAATATAAGCAGGTATGTACTGTCTGCCTACTATATGCCTACTTTCACTTTTCAGTTTACTGTGTGCAACTGAATAGTTACATTAGCAGGTCTAATAATAGTGTTTCCACTTTCATATATGTGATGTAAGTAAAAAAGTGGAAACTGTCACACAACAGTTTTTATCACAGTTCTCTTGAAGCTTATTTTGGAAAAACAAACTTATTTTAGTTTGTGTTTTCCATCTAGTTCAAGCTTCAAAACCACATCTTTACTCCCCACCCTCACATACAGGTGGATCATAATGCATATACACTCACCGGCCTTTATTTATTATTATAGGTACATATTACTAGTTCCTCTTGGACCCTCATTTCTCTTCCGAGCTAATGTAATTCGTCATTGTATAGTTGCTGGAAACAGTCCTCAGAGATTTTGATCCATATTGGCACGATAACATTACAGAGTTGCTGCAGATTTCTCAGCTGCATGTCCATAATATGAATCACCCCTTACACCACATCCCAAAGGTACATTATTGGATTGAAATCTGGTGGCTGTGTAGGCCATTTGAGTATATGTCATGTCCAAAATAACAGATATGGTGTGTTATTTGATGGAATTCTCTGATAGGCTGTGGTGGCCCAAATCAGCATCATTTGGCACTAATGGGTGCCAAGAAAATATCCTCTTTACCATTACACCACCAGCACCAGCCTGAACTGTTGATCCAAGGAAGAATGGATCCCTCTTTTTAAGTTGTTTATGCCAAACTGTGAATCCGAATGTTGCAGCAGAAATGGAGACTCATCAGACTGGGCAATGTTTTTCTTCTAATGTGTTGTCTAGTTTTGGTGAGCCTTAGCAAATGCCTCAGTTTCCTGTTCTTAGCTGACAGGGGTGCCACCTGGTGTGGTCTGCTGTTGCTTTAGTCCATTAGCCTAAAGGTACAATGTGATGTGCATTCAGAGATGTTATGTGCATACCTTGGTTGTAACAAGTGGTTATCTGAGTTACTGTTGCATTCCTATCAGCTGAAAGTAGTCTGGCAGTTCTGACATCAGCAAGGCGAATTGGTCTAGAAAACTGCTGCTCACTGGGTAATTTCTCTTTTTTAGACCATTCTCTGAAAAACCTGGAGATGGTTGTCTGGGAAAATTCCAGTAGATCAGAAGTTTCTGACATGCTCAGACCAACCTATGTGGCACCAACAACCATGTATCATTCAGAGTCACTTAAATCACATTTCTTTCCCATTCCAGTCCTCGGTTTGAACTTCAGCAGATTGTCTTGACCATGTCTAAATGCACTGAGTTATTGCCATGTGATTGGCTGGTTACATTTTTTTAAAAGCAGTATAACAGGTATACGTACCAAAAACGTGGCTGGTGACTGTGTACCTGAAGGGAAATACAAAAATAAGCAATGCGTGAGGTAATAGGACATTTAATTAATGAAATAATGTGAGAGTTTAGAATAGGATAAAAATGGGAGCATCATAAGCACATATAGTGGGAGCATGTTGTATGTATGTTACTCTGGCAGGGACAGACTTTTCACATTGAATTCAAGTCATCCAGAGTTGTTTCATTGTTCATAGTACGCTGAATTTTAAAAATGCAAATTCACCTTTTACACACAATCCAGCAGAGGCGGTGTCGCCAGCTTCTGTTTCTTCATTTCTATAATTCCAACCAAAATGACTACAGTATATATCTATCAATATGCAATATTGTCTAATCTTATCAAAAACCAAGGAATGGAAAAGTGTCAGAAAATTGACCAAAGCATTTATTGCTGAAATGGTTTCGGGCTGAAATCCACTGAAGTCTCACAGTGACCCAGAAAGAATAATTCAGAAGGTTGGGATAAAAATTCAGAGAGCATAAGCTGCCAGCAGTTGGCAGTCTTCACATAACTTTGAGCCAGTGCTTGAATGTTTGTCACTTTTTAGTTCATTTATATCTCGAAGCATAATGCTAATTAAATCCACTCGTTTCTTGTTGACTTTTTTCGTACGCTTGGCTGTCATTGTTGATAAGTTCTGCTTTTTACTCAGCTCAAGTAGCTTCACCAGAAACACCATCATGGTATTTTTGTTTTTGGATTATAGTTATGTTTTTGTGTGTGTGACTGAATTGTGAATTAGATTATGTGGAGCTCTGATTCCCTTGAAAGTGAGCTTTTGAGACGCTTTACACCACTTATCTTTCCTTACTTAGCCCGTCTTTTCATATCTAAGCTTCGATCGAGCCATTACCGTGGCAGGACCACTCATAAATATTTAAAAATAATATACTCTTTAAGAGCGCTCTGTTTTCCTTCATTTATCTAGTTTCTGAAGCAGAGCTGTTCCTTAACTGAACCCGGAGCTTTTGATGGCTTAGCCTGCAAGCATATTTAAAGTTCCGTCTGTCTGAATTCCTCTCAGATCTCATCCTGTCACTTCGTGCTTAAATATAAACTCACCCAGATCAAGTGCTATTACCATCAGCGCGGGGACATTATGCAACAATCCACCTCCTATTCCTCTCTGTGGAGGGAAACAGAAATAGAAAGAAGACTAATTTAGGAACAGACCTCAACTTCACCTGAGTCTAAAAATAATAACCGTCGACTGGCTTTGACGGCAAGTGTGAAAACCGGTTATCGAACGTGCCACCGAGGAGAGGAGACCGGATTTGATGGTTTTTGTGTGTATTATGGGTTGCTAGCTTGCGGTTGAGAGCTGTGTTGAGCAGACTGAAGTGTGACAGGAAGGAAGAGGGTGATTGATGGAGAGAGGGGGAAAATGAACAAAGTGTGTGGAGGGGGAGGGGGGAGCATTCAATCCGCTGGGATTGACAAGTTGAGGGATTCCCTAAAATAGCCTGGGTTGTTTACAACATAGATAATGCGAATGATTATTCACGTAGCAATTTGCTTTTTCAATGTGTGTGAATGCCAAGAGTTTCTTTGGGGGTTTTATTTATTTATTTATTTTCCTGTGGAAATATAGCCAAAAAAAGCTTTGTGTGCTAATTGCTCCTCGAGCACATGAGGACAAAGACAAGTCTGTTAACGGTGGAGCTAAAAACGGTGTCAAGTGGTGCATTGCAATCCGTTCTAGGACTGGAGCTTTTGTAGATAGATGCAGACTAGCTGGGTGCTAGCCAGGTGAAGCAGCACGTGCCAGCGCTCGTGTCTCTTGGGTTCTGTTAGCATTGCGTTGTTTTCTCTTTTCTAATTCTGATTGTTTTCCTTGTCGGTGTTTTCGGTCAGTTTTGACTAAATAAATAAATTTGATCTGATTTACTTTTAATGGTTTTAATAAGATATTTTTATTCTGGACAACATATTTTTGTTAATTTGGGTGCATCAGCACAATTATCTGCTCCTTGTGGAAATATGATGAAGTAATTAAGACTGCATGTTCTTGTAGTTCCTGCATTGTAAGTATAAGTATACTGTTTGCATGCAATATTCAATAGAAAGAAAGCAAAAAGTGCCTCAGGCAGTGAAGTTACCGTGGGGCCGGATAAATTATTAAGTGAAAATATTTAAAATAAATAAGGCTGAGATTGTTTTGTAGGAATAAATTGAATATAAAAAACTTTTTTTTTTAAATGCCCTCTGGGTCTTGAGCCTTCAGCAACAAGTGCAAAATCCATTATTACTGTGAAACAGTGGTATAGAAAAGAAACTCATAACAAGGATGGAGAAAATGACTACCGTGGTCATCCTGAATTTAAATGAGCAAAATAATCATTTACAGCTTGCTTGCAGATGGTGCAGCGATAACGATTCCTTGCCCTAAGATTGACAAGTACCCCCATCTTTCACAGGCTTGAAATCCCATCAGAACATATTGTCCTCCTCACTATGTCCCTGTTAGAGTCATCCTTCTAATTATAGAAAAAAACTGAAGGAGAGTAAAATCCCTGCTGCCGAAATGGGGACAAAAACTGACTGAAGACTTGAATGGCTTAAGGCTCAGCAGCTCGGGTAAGAAAAAAGCAAAAAAGAAACAGATGCTCCACTAGTTAAAAAGGATGCAGGGAGATTAAAACTGCAGGACTACAGACAAAAGATCAAAAAAGAAGAGATAAGAGGTCAGTAGTGACAGAGCTGGGTATAGTAACGGCCAATATGAGGGAGAATGTGACAGGATGGAAAGATAGCTGCATGATAAGTATAGTAAAAAAAAGAGAGATGAGGGTCACCAATATAATGTATGTAACACAGAGAATAAGAGCAAAAGTAGATGTCGAGATAGATGGACTGTCTATAGACGGCCTGATGTCTCTTATAGGATAACTCGTTGCACTCTGATTTCTCTGTCCGTCTGCAAGCTACAGGAAAAGTTTGTGGGTGTTTGTTTGACTCTCAGGATGCTTGTAGCTGTTTGAAGGAGAAGGGGAAAAGGAGATTTGAATATACATAAGGCCTATGACACCACTAATGCACTTAAAGCTAAGAGGATAAAGTCCATACAGACTTATTAACCTATAAACACAGTAGGGGAAACACACCTGTCTGTCTAGTTGTTAGCAGTTTTCAATATATCATTTTCAAATTTTGATTGACAGTAGATGCCAACAACACCTTGAGGTGATTTAAGACACACCAGTTGTGAAAACCAGTAAAAATTGTATATTACCCACAATTTGTTTTCATCTTCAAACTACTCAACAATATCCTAGACCTTGGGGGGGGCATGAGCACTTGACCTTGACCTTCATTGTTAGCGATAAAAAGGTCAGAAGAAGAAACCATATCAAAAAATATGTCATACGAAAAGCGATGGAGAGAGTTGTACACCACCTCAATTCAACACCTTACAAGGTCACAATGATGCCATAACTGACTGACGTCATCCTAGGATAATAAAACATGCGCATGTTATAATAAAAACATTATAAAACATCACAGTTTCAGTATAGCCCTTGCCCTACGGGGGGAGTGGTGCTCTCTGAGTGCTGATGTTATTCTTATTACTCTGTCTGTATTGTGTTTTTACCATATTATGGGGATGAACAGTTTTCATTCATAAATATTCATCAAACTTTTTCTGAAAGGGAGTTTTTTTCCCTCCTGTTTTCCTGTGTATACTTTGTTTTACTATTAGGTTTTTGTTTTAAAACAGCCCAGTGGCTGGGTGCTTAGGTAAATTAATGGTCGGGCATTGTACAGCTACAAGCATTTCACCCCCATGTCATACTGTGTATGGTTGTGTGTGTGTGACAAATAAAATTTGAATTTGAATTTGAATCTTTGATTGTTGTTGGCCGAAAAACTAAGCAGGCTTTTTGTGGCTTGTTGGAGCTGTGTTGAAGCACCAGAGACCGGAAAAAGCTTGACTTGAAGTACAGATTATTGGTATTGAGTATTCATTTTAATTGAAAAGCGTTCCTCTGGTTTAATTGACGAGCTCTGTCTAAAAGTGGGTGAACAAACCAAGCTGTTTTTGTTTTCTGCAGATCTGCTCCCAGCTGAGCGAACGACTAGAGAAACAACAGACGGCTACGCGAGGAGAACTCGAGAAAATCAGGGTGAGTTTTACACCAACCCAAATGACGTAACCATGACGCCAGGATTAACTTTGTCACTTTATGAGTTTACAAAGTGTATTACAATTTTTACCTCTCATTACTCCATGAGCTGCCATGTAAGGTGCTCCTCTGTCAGCAGGATTCAGTTCATTGCTTAAAGACACTTCTGATGAACAGATAACCTGTTTTAACATCTGAGACACAGCCTCATATACATTGATTTGCTCTTCAGTGAGTGAAATAAGTATTTGATCCCCTACAACCCAGCCACAATTCTAGATCCCACAGATTATCAATCAATTGTAGATACTCCTGATCTGAACTTATGTTGTTAAGCATATACCTGTCAATAGAATCAGTTTCTTCCATTGCAACCTCTCCACCTCCATGTGCAAGACCAAAGAGCTATCAAAAGACATCAGGGGCAAAATTGGCTGAATGGACTTCAAGACCATCACCAAGAAGTTGGTGTTGTGAAATATAAAATAACCAGTTGTTATAGATGTAGAGGTCAATGCAAGATTTTGGCTCATGGGAGGAGGAAGATCATGAGAAAAGTCTTGGAGCAGCCCAAAAGTACATGGAAGGAGCTTGCTAATGATCTGAAGGCAGTTAGGAGCACAGTCGCCAAGAGGCACCTCCACTGGTAGCACACCATGCAGTAATGGTGTGAAGTTTTTCAGCACCCACAAGGTCCCCGTGCTCAGGAAGACACATGTACAGGCCAAGAAATGCTGACTCAGACCCAAAGAACACCCTCTGCATAGTCAAGCATGGAGGTGGAAACATGCTGAGGAGCTGTTTTCTGCTAAGGATACGGGACGACTTCACCGCATTGAGAGGCCGATGGACGGATCATTTACCGTAAAATCTATGACATGAACCCCCATCCCCCAATACATGCAAAAGAAGCCAATGAGCCTTTTTGACCATATATTAAAAATGAGCATCAACTCTTGTTGCTCTGGCATCCCAGCACAGAGGGCCTACTTAGTCTAGAGATAACTGGCTGTCTAGAGAGTGGTTCTTAGCTCTGTCTGGAAAGCTTTGAGTCAAAGATTACATGAACAAGAAAGTTTGACTGAACCTACAGGTTAAAGTAAAACCTGTAGTTAAATGTAATGTTTAAAATCAGATCTTTTGGGGGGAAGAGTGAGGAGCATGACCGAGGAGGCCATGGCAGTTTTACCTGTGGCCCGTGAAGTATTAGTTCAAACAGTAGGCGATGTAAGAAAAGGGCAGTTTTGGCAGGAAGCTCACAAAATGTTTAGTGCACCAAGGTCAAGTCATGTAAAGGTTGCAGCAGGACCTCTCTGCCTGTGTGCAGTTTTTTTCTATACTACTAATGGTGCAGAAATTCTCCTAACTGTCAGCAGCTGCTGTAGCTGCTCACAGATGCATTTTTTTTAAAGATATTTAAATAAGCACACTGACAGCGACTCACTAAAACTGAATTTGAAGTGACAAGAGCACCAATTGCAGCTCAAGCACTCTGCTGCTTCATTAAGGCCACTTCTGCAACAATGAGACTGGAAGCTTTACATATAATTACTATTCAGCTTAAAACTGGCCACATTTAATCCAAATTAAATATTCTCATAAAATATTCATTTTTAGGAAGCGTCTCCACCGGCTGCCTCAGTCGGCTGTTGTTACTGTGGCAAGCAACCCTGAATGTAAAGTCCTGTCGACAGTCCTACATGTTGGTGCCAACTCAGGCACTGATCTGTCTAGAATAATCTCAGAGGAGTCGCCCTACTAGTCTGGTTATCCTGAGCCAAACTTAGAAAGAGCAACTGAAAGTAAATAATACTTTTACTTACCTCATCTGCTCAAACAGACTTCATATGCCTTCTGCAAAAACATGGGATTTAACAAATAGCTCAAAGAGTTTTGAATGAATTCTGATAAAACTCTGTAGGGGTGTAGAGCGAGGTCATGTTAACAATCCATTAAAATTAGGATCATATTCAACAAAGTCTTCAAGGTCACTTTCATGCTTTATGGGTCAAAAACGGACAAAAACCCTTCGAACTTTGACACTATGATTCTTGCGGTGACTTTAATTTCATACCTGTCAGCATCTTTTTTTGTTTGTTTTTTTTGGATTTAGGAGAAGGTGGAGTTATCAGCTCACACTGTCAACCTAGGCTAACAATTCGATCCTAAGTAACAAACTAATACACACACTTTTTGACTGGCTGAACATCACAATCAGTGACACAGCACAGCATGTATTTTCTCAGATAATTACAGTAGACATCAACACTTTACACAGGTGAGATGTTCCATTCACTGAGGTGAAGCAGACTTTAAGGTGAAGCAGACTTCCAGGCCTGATGAGTTATTTAGAAATGAGAACAGTGAGAGAGAAATCTTTCTTTTTGTTTTGTTTTTAGCACCAGGCTATAAATCTGTTTTAACACATGAGTCTATGGGGGTTTTTGGACGCAGCCTAAGTGGTGATCATTATGAAAACTTTACAGCGAGAAGACAGCTGGGTAGCTATAAATATCTGCATTCAATTGAGACAACAGTTGTTTGGTGAGGGGAAAAACATTTGGGGCATTCTCCTGTTCCATTTTAAGTTTTCCTTTTCTCACTCCGTCTCTCTTTCTTCTCTAACCTTGCTCAGGCTTAAAGTGTCCTCTTACCTCTTCTGTTTGTTTCTTCCTCCCCCTCATATGTAGGCGAAAGTTGAAGGCTGCGAGAAATGCAGCAGTCTTTTCAACAAGGAGGGACGGGTACGGGCCGCTGTGACCACAGCATCTGCCGGGGGAGCCGAGGAGACCGATGAAGAGAAGGAGGCTCTGAAAAACCAGCTGAGGGAGATGGAGCTGGAACTAGCTCAGACCAAACTGCAGCTGGTGGAGGCCGAGTGCAAAATCCAGGTAGGGTCCAGAGGTCAGAGTGTGAGTCATTCATTATTCTGACATGGGATGTTTCTTAAAGTTGAAAGTAAAACATTGTAAAACATCCGTGTTGAAAGGAGAAAAAAAGGAGGCCACATTTCTGCTCTAATTACTTTATCACCCCCGAACAGTAACCTGCAGCACAGGCCCAACAAATGAAAGCAGAACATTTTCTTTTAAGAAGATAGAGTTGAAGAAACCTGCAGCTTTATGCGACAGCTCGATTTAATTTACTAATTGAGGACAGTGCTGTGATCACAGGCTCTGAATCAACGTTAGCATGTAATGGAATCAGAAAAGAAGCATTGTTATTATAGCGGGGAGCTTTTAAACATTGCTGTGTTAAGTGTTTTTTTTAAAACCCGTGTGAGCAGAGTGAAAAAATTGAGGCCTAGTTTCTAAATAGAGGCTTAAGGGGAAAAAATGCATTAAAGTGACTGCAACAAAGCGCTCTGTGTGGAGATTACTTGGAGTGATGATGAGGAAAGTTGAGGATTTTGTGTTGCACTCAAAGCTGCAAAGTAAAATCAGTAAATAAGATATATTGCCTGTTTGGGCTGTAATTTCTTGCTCTCTTTCATCCAGGATCTGGAGCACCACCTGGGTCTGGCTCTCAATGAGGTGCAGGCCGCCAAGAAGACCTGGTTCAACCGCACACTCAGCTCCATCAAAACCGTCACTGGGACCCAGGGCAAGGAGACCACCTAACCTAACATTCCCTATCCACCCAGTTTCGACCGGATTATGTCTGGAGATCGGCGCAACTCATCACGCCGAAACCTCCGGACCTCTAACGTAACCCACCAGGCCATAACTTTGACATGAACATTAGCCGTTAAATCCCAGGATCACTTTGCTACAGGCTGTGTTCCTCCTAACAACAATATCGTCGTGTTTCCCTCATTCCTGATCTAATCTGCCCAGCACAAATCCCGAACGACTGCAGCCAACTGATGAGAAGGGGTTGCAAACATGAGATGAATGAATTACAGCAGTACCACTCTCTGAGACAGTGTGCTTCCAGCAGTCACATAAAGACAAGTGTTTAAAAATGAAAATAACAAAAAAACAGCATAATTATTTCTGTCTTTGTACTGCTGATATTAAAGACCCACAGAAGGAAGGTAAGGACACCTGAAATGTCTTTGTCCTTACGGGATAGAGAAGAAAACACTCCGTCCTTCCTTGCCGCTCTGTGTGCACTTCCCTTCTAAACTACTGGCACAAAACTACCAGTCCCTGTAAATGTTTTGTTTTAGGTACGAGAGCTAATAGATGCCTTTTTGAAACGGAGCATTTTCTAATTTACGTTGAACAATACCTTTTGTTGTTGTCTGTTTTGTTTTGCTTTTTTCTCGTACCTTGTCAAATATGCTTGCGTAAAGGGGAAACGTATGTGTGAATGTAAGAGCGCATGTTAATTTGCTTTGTTTTCGACTGTGAGGTGATGTTTGAGTGGATAGATATTTGACTAAAATAATGTGCAAAACTGTGTGTGTTCAAAAGAAAGAGCTGGAAAGTGTGCGTAAGCCCTAGGGAAAGAAAAAGCACTAAGGTTGTGAATGTACGCCTGCATGCAAGCTGTTTGTCTAGTCTGCTTCAATGTTCAAGCGTGTATATGAACGATGCTAACAAGAGGTTTGATGACAAAGCCTTGATCTGAAGGTTGGTAAAAAGTGGTTGGTATAATTATGTAATTTATGATAAAAGCTGCTGTAATGTTAACCGACAGCTTAACCTTTCCTCGTGTCAAATTTCACACGCAGGGTTTGTTTGGTTTGGGTCACTTGGCGCAAAGAAAAGCTCAAAACCACGCAAACCTCTGTGTGTGCTGCACAAGCGTACTGTGAGAGTGCGAGGATAGCTGAAACACACAGCGATGCATCGTTTGCCAGAAAGCTTATGCACTGCTTAGAGGAAGTCTGAATCGGAAAACACACACAGACAGAAAGTTTGATTTCCTACTGCACTGAAGCCCACCTTTAAGCCCCGCCTTCCTCTACCCACGCCTCCAGCTGCACTGCAATCTTTGACCTTTTGACCAAGGTCCCATTTAATCCTTGGTTGTGCAGCACGCCAGGCACATTTCAGTCACACTTTTGGTTGTTAAAAAACACTGAACTAAAATGCAGACACACATGTGTGTGTAAATATATATATTTTTTAAAAAAGCTAGTTAAAAGTAGTCCCTCATGTCCACCTGCACAGAAGGTTATAATAACATGAGATCTGAAAGAAGATATGCAGTTAGCAGCAAAACCGTGCTCTGTCAACGAGAGGTCAGTCCAAAACACCAGCATGAAGGACACAGACGAGAGCGGAGAATAACCAGATAACGCATGACATCACAAGACCTGGGTGTTTGATGATGCAACAAGTTAAAGTTTGCGTTGTTGTGTGTCTCTATGCTATTAAGTCCAGTATCCAGTCAGAGGTAGCATCGAGGGATTAGATTGCTTTACTGGCTTCCAACGCAGAGCAAAAGCCCCGCTAACCCCACCCCCCAACAGATCGATGAATCCGTGCCTCGGAGCATTCGACGTGCTCAATCAGATCACAGTGCTGAGGAGACTTAAACATTAAGGTGGCGACCGACACTCCTGCGAACGCAGGGACAGAAAGGCCACACATGTGAAGACACCTGTGAGCAGCTCAGGAGTGTGGATCAGGATAATCCGTCTGTGGGGGTTGATGTAAAAAAGTGCTTGTGTGTTTTCATATTTAGCCAACTCAAAAGGGAGCTCATCAATATTCTAGTTTCTATTCATAATTTACTGCAAGACTGAAAAAAAATGAGAAAAAGCGCAATTTTTCAAACTTACTGTAAATTGTATAAATTCTGATATGAAAGGTGTAATCTGATTGGCTTGTATTCTAGTGATGTCAGAGGAGGAGTCCGCATGAAGTTGAAAGAAACTAAGGGCCATCCCTCTAAAGGCACTGGGTTGTAAATAAGAAACATTAAAAAAAACAAAAAACCTAAATATTGAGTTTTTGTTTATGATTTTCTACTCTGTAACTATAACTAATGATGCCTACTTGTACCCACCCACCTGCTGCCGTGCTACAGTTTGATTCACAACAGTGTTTTAATGTTCGTTTGTTTATTTGGGGCTCTTTTTTTTGGCTCTAAGCTTTTCAGTCAGACTGCTGTTTGGTTAATTAAATGCCAAAACGTAGCTTTATCATCCAACGACAAAAACATTATCAACGTGTGCAAATTGTAATAGTGTAGAATGCACTGTGTATACTTCATGAATTTCAATATAAAGATATCAACAGAAGAATATCTGCGTGTCTTTCCGTTATTTTGCAGCTTTATTTATTAAAAAAAAGACAAACAATATAAAATAGAATAAAGGTTAAAAGGAACTTTACAGGAGCACAGGGCTAAAGTGATAAAGTCTCAATATGATATTGTGGTTTGAAATGCCAACTGTTTATGATGTGAAAAAACTTCATCCTGGTTGTTACATTCAGTATTTTGCATACTGGGACCTTTTATGATTATGTTTTTGGAGGAATAAGATGAAACGGGGATGGAAAGAAAAACAGAAGGGAGCAGACCGCCCTGTGATCATGACGATGCTACAGATTAATTATGTTTGCACAGTAAGAGGAGTCAAAACAGTAAGATGATAGAAGATAGTCATTAAAGTAAGCCATTATAATCGTTAAGCAAAAGTGTTGTTGCTCAACTTGAAGTCCAGTGAGAGAAACTGCTGCTTCTCTGTTTTAGGTAACTGTGAACTTTGATAGGTAAAAGCATCACCTTACCCTCTGAGTGTGTGTGACCTTGCTCACTCCCATCAATATCTTCCTTCCACCAATTTCAACGAGAAAGGAATCACTGTTACTTTTAAAGCTATTAAAGTATTGAGAAGCCACAAAATGAATTAAAGCTTAAAACCTAAAACTTATTAGTATTTTGCTCCTTTAACTCTTATATCGCTTGAGTTTGAAGGCCGTATCTATAAAATAACACAAAAAAAGCCTTACATGTCAATATCCTCTTCAGTGTCTCCAGTTGGAATTGAGAAAGAGATAAAAGAGGCCCATGATGTTGATATAATGAGACTTCTCTTTGTGTCCTCTTGGGAGGTTCTGAGAGTTTTAAAGATGAAAATAAACCTGTTTCTGCTAGCTAATTATGTCTTGTGAAAACAGCCTATCTGTCAGACACTTAAACAAGCCTTTTCCCTCGAGATGCATGGAAAGCTCTTCGTAGCTTGTACGCACTTTGGCGCCGGTTCTATCGCTCATCTTCTCCCTCAGAGAACGTGCCTCAAAATGATGGGTGCATTGTTATCTGTGTCAGGGATGAGCTATTTTCTGCCTTCGCCTCAGTGTATGATATGTGCAATGTGCACTAGTTGAACTGGAGGTCTCACATATATCATTTGGAGTGTTTATAACTTAGATCTAGGCGATAAATTTACACCTTTAGTGACGACGGCAGTGGGGAGTTTGGCTCTGCAGCTGCAGATTGCAAAGAAGCAGGCATGAAAACTTGGAAAGCCGGTAGCATACCGGAGCTGCTGGAGGTAACAAACGCCAGCATTATGCAATCTGCTTCACACTTTATCCCCCTCCTTTTTCTAGCCTGCGTATAAGACTGTAAACAAATGGCACCAAGCACGAAAATAGAATGTCACAGGGACTGCTGATGGGTGCTGTCTTGGACTTTAACGGTTGTTGATGTATGAATCAGGGATGGAACTCTGTGTGTCTGTCAGAGAATATGCCTAAGAGGGGCAGTGTGACAGTATTTTTACAACCTCATAAACTTCCTGGCACCTGATATTGTGAACTCACAAACAAGACTGAACTTGGCTTCTTTTGATAAGTTTATCTCTGAGACTAAATATTCATATGACTTAGCTTCAGATGTCAAAGGGATAAGTGGTAGGGTGAAGGTGGAAAAGTGTTCCACCCCGACTTCACTCTAGAGCCTCTGGAGCCTGTTAGAAAACAGAATTCATAAATTCAACAGCAGTAAATGCTGCAAATTTAGTATGTAATAAAAAATATTCCGCCACAGTAGATCCCTACAGGAATTCCTATACAGGAATCTACTGTCAACTACTGCTTTGATGAAAGCTGTTTCTGCAGAGTAGCATATCTGGAGATCTGCAAGAACTTTTAGACTTTCAGAATTTTAATTTAATAAATATGTGAAAATGTCTGACTCTTTACAGTTTAAATTCATATTGGATTCACTCGCTGAACTGTACCTTGTGTGCTATGGGAAATAAGCCGTATGGCTCATCTGCTTATATCTTGTTGAATTCAGGTCGTTAGATCCACAAATAGCATTGAATATTAGTAGCACAGGACACGTGATCACAGCCTGTAAGCAAAGAAAATTTGCTGGAATTATTAACTGAATCATTTCTAAGTGATTAGCCCTTCGACAGACTGACGACCTGTCCAGGTTGTATCCTGCCTCTTGCCCTAAGACAGCAGGGATAGGCTCCAGCGCCCCCCATGACCCTGAAAAGGATAAGTGGATAGATGGATTTCTAAGTGATTATTATCCTCACACTGCATTGCTACTCCCAATCTTAGGGTTTCCCTACCTCTGATATCCCAGTTTAATCACTGGGTGTATTAATAATTTAAATACTTTATCAAATAAAATCAAGCTCTTCAGTCATGTTAGCTAGCTGGAAAGCAGGCTACATCATAAGTAAAATAAGTAGTTGGTATTAGGGGTGCAATGATATTCGTATCGATATTGAACCGTTCGATACAGTGCTTTTGGTTCGGTACGCATATGTATCGAACAATACAAAAGTTTTAATTTATTTTATCAACTTTCCTTCTGACGATGCTGTCTGTGTTGAGCGCTCAGTGGATCTGCGTTCGACTACTCCGCCTAGGCTGCACTGTCGAGCGCAGATCCACTGAGCGCAGCGCAAGCTAGCAAGACAGAAGCTAAGCTCATTGCAACATGGCTACTGCCTCAACGCTACCTGAAATTGAGCCTCCCCCACCCTCATTCAGATCTGGTGTTCGGAACTATCTTGGTTTTCATGTGAAGCATGACCCTGATGGTAAGCGCGTCATGGACAAAAGAAAAACAGTATGTCGGATGTGCCACGCAATGCTCAATTACATTGGTGGGAGCTAGTGTGTTAGCGCAGTTAGCTCGTTAACGTGTTGACACCGTCCAGCCCCACGCACGGGGCGATCTGCGGTAACTCGTTAACAGAGATTTGCCGTGTTATGGCGTTAATGTCATTTTAACAAGATTAACGCTGACAGCACTAGTGGGAACACAACGAATATGACTGCACATTTACTCCGACATCCTAGTGCAAAGACAAGTGGAAGCAGACAAAAACAACAAGCACGCATGCTACAAACTTTACCCGAGTCATTTAGACAGCCACATGATTCTCCTGAGAGCCATTTCTCTGTAATAAACTCTCTTTTCCAAAGATGAGTGATTTATTTTTTTTATTTTGTTGTTTCAGCAACATTAAATTTAAAAACTGTACTTTTGGGTTAAAATATATATTTATAATTTTAATAAATGATAAATTAAAAAGGCATGAACATTTTTTGTATCGAAAAAATATCGAACCGTGACACCAAAGTATCGAACCGAACCGTGAATTTTGTGCATCATTGCACCCCTAGTTGGTATATATATTGGCTAATAAGGCTCTTGAAAAACATTTATACATAAAGGATTTAGCTGTTTGATCCAAGATGCTAGTTGTCTGTGGTTTTATTTTTAATCTCTCTGCAGCTATTTTGACTCCCCCCCCCCCCCCCCCCCCCTTTTCTCTTTTTCCTTCT